CCCCATCCTCCATCTACCATCTCTAGTTACATTTTTGTCTAATGTTGAGATGCAATCCATATTGAAGGCTGCAGTCCTTGATCTTCTGCAGAAGGCTCCTCAGATCCTCCTCAGTTTCACAGAGCAAGGTTGTGTCATCTGCATAAGGAAGCTGTTGATGAGTCTTTGATTCTATTTATGTGTAAAATCTTTATTTAGATTTTTGATAGTAGTCTTATGTAATACATTTCTTCCGTGATTGCCTTGTTTCACACAGTATAAGGCTCTCTAATTTCATTCATGTAGTGGTATTTTTTCACAAATCCTTCATTGCTTTTCATATATTACATATTGCATTTGCATATTACTCTGTTGAGTGGATGTACCTAGTTTTTTTAGACATTCAACCACTCATAGGCACTTAGGTTGTTTCCTCTGTGCAGTTCTAATATGGATGGATTAAACGTGGTTGTGCATAAGTTTATATAGCTGCTTGTGTTTCATTAGGATAGACACTTCACTGTGGGATTTTTCGGCTAAATAATATTCCCACTGAGGATATACAAAAATGCTTTTCATACTGGTTGCATCATTTTACATTCCTAGTAAGAGGTGGCATCCACTTTCTAAAAAACATGCCTCTGAAAAGTCTAGGAACTCTGATAAATGTCAATAGTTGTAGAGGGGCTTCAGGCATTTTGTTCATAGGGTTGCTATGAGTCATGCTCGACTCAACAGCAATCAACAACAACAATCAGCAGTGTATGAGAGTTCAATCTCACCACACCCACCCCAGCATCCCAGAACACTTGATTGTGTTTATGCAAAACCTGCTTGGACCAGGAGGAAGTCATCAGAACAGAGCAAGGAAACACAGCATGGTTCAAAATTGGGGAGGCTGTATGCCTAGGATGTGTCCTGTCTCCATATCTTTTCAATCTATATACAGAACAGATTGTCCAGGATGCCGGGCTCTATGAGGAGAAATGTGGCATCAGGCTTGGAGGTAGACTCATCAACAATCTGCGTTATGCAGATGACACACTCTGCTTGCTGAAACTGAGGAGAATCTGAAGGGCTTGCTGCATAAGGTCAAGGACTGCAGCCTTCAATATGGATTGAAGCTCAACATCAAAAAACCAAAGATTCTCACCACTGGGCTGACTGGCAGCCTCATGATAGATGGCGAAGAGACTGAGATTGTTAACAGCTTCATTTTGTTTAGCTCTACAGTCAACAATCTTGGCACCAGGAGCTACGAAATAAAAGACGGGAGAGTTAGCTGTTACAGATCTCTCCAAAGTACTGAAGAGCAATGATGGCAGTCTGGAGACTAAGGTGCGCCTGATCTTTGCCAAGATCTTTGCAATTATTTGCTATACATCAGAGACGTGGACAATGACTATGGAGGATAGAAAGAGAATCGATGTTTTTAAGCTGTGGTGCTGGAGAAGAGTATTGAACATAACATCGAAAGCTAGGAGAACAAACAGGTTCATCCTGGACAGGGTGAAACCAGGCTGCTCCTGGGAGGCAAGGATTCTGAAGCTTCGTCTGACATACTTTGGATATTTTGCAAGGCGCACTCAGTCCTTGGAAAGAAATGTCAGGCTTAGGATGGTGGAGGGACAGCACAGGAGAGGAAGACCCTCAATGAAAGGAATTGATTCAGTGACTGGGGTAATGGGGGTAGGAGTGTCAAAGACAATAAGATCGGCACAGGATAGAGCAGAGTTTAGGGCTG